GCAGGTCGGATATACCACTAATCATATCCGCATGCCTTGTTGTCAGCGCAGAAGTCGCTCTTGCGCTTGTCCAACGCTTTGCCTGAAGGAGATCGGTACACTCTGTAGAACATGGAAGACTATCGGCAAGACAAGTACATACGTACTCCTCAAGACAGATGACAACTTGTCAACACGAAGAAGCAACGGTGACCCCGTCTGCCAGAGGCAGCTAAGTTACCAAATTTCGAGCGAATCGGCACCTGCATCGGCTTTGTGACTGGGGGCACGCAAAGCGAGGCGAGCCAGCATGGCACGGACGTGCAATTGTTCAAGGCATACATGGAACACCGGATCAGCCATCAACAAATGATCAACGACTCGAGGGTGCAACCTACCAGACCAAACATGAAACACACTGGCACTTCTGTGCGAATTGCGATACTGTGGCGATGCAGCGCACCAGGCCGTCTTCCCAAACCTCCCACGTCCTGGATGTTCACTGTGGGCCCCTATCGCATGGATTCTGCGCCGTGTGTCGTCGCCTGTGACCCTGGGGCCCGTCACGAGACACTACATGCCGCACTCACAAAGCACTGGTCGCCCAGGTGTCTCAAGACGCCGAAAGCCCACGTCGTCAACCCCCCAGCTGACATTGGGGCCGCAGCAAGGGTCAACAAGAGCCCGTGTGGGGGCAACATCGGCGCCACAGAACCCTCGCGACGGGGCGCCAGCTGCTGGAGAACCCCCCTGGACCCTCAGAGCTTCGGAGAGCCACGAGAAAGCATGTGAAAGCATGCGGAAACTCCGACGACGACGACGATGACGACGACGACGTTGACGACGACGACGACGCTGACGGCGCTCATGGGAGTCGGCAGCAAAGAAATGACACCAGCTGCAAATACTGTTGCATTTCGGCACTGATTATTTCCTGCCCCACCCTGCTCGCGCGCCGTCCGGCGCACGGGTAACGTTCGCTCGTTCGCTCGGGTTTGCCAACCTTCGCCCCAGCTTCTGACCCTCGCTCGCCCCCCGGGGCTTCTGGGTACGGTATACACCAGGGCTGAACGTAAACGGTGTTTTTCGTTTTCGTTGTGTTGTCTTTTTCCCGGAAAGGGCAAGAGCCCAGGGTTCTCTTTGTACTAGGTAAACCTGTCCCCCGGTGCCTGCTTGAAGGAGGCCGGCGAATTTTTTCCCTGATAAATAACGAGCCGGCGAATTGCCGGCGAATTTTTTCCCTGGTAAATAACGAGCCGGCGAATTGCCGGCGAATTTTTTCCATGATAAATAACGAGCCGGCGAATTAAAATTTGAGGATGTCTCGAGCGGAACGCTTGTTTTTCAGAAAATGGTGAGGATGTCTCGAGCGAAACGCTTGTTTTGTGTTATAGAATTCTGAGGACCACCTCCCAGCACGACCACTCCCCCAGCACGACCACCCCCCAGCACGACCCCACCCCAGCACGACCCCACCCCAGCACGACCATACCCCAGCACGACCACACCCCAGCACGACCCGACCCCAGCACGACCCTACCCCAGCAAGACCACACCCCAGCACGACCACACCCCAGCACGACCTCACCACAGCACGACCACACCCCAGCACGACCACGCCCCAGCACGACCACGCCCCAGCACGACCACGCCCCAGCACGACCACCCCCAGCACGACCACACCCCCAGCACGACCACCCCCCAGCACGACCACGCCCCAGCACGACCACACCCCAGCACGACCACAGCACCACACCCCAGCACGACCACACCCCAGCACGACCACACCCCAGCACGACCACACCCCCACACCCCAGCACCCCACCCCAGCACGACCCACCCCAGCAAGACCACACCCCAGCACGACCACACCCCAGCACGACCTCACCACAGCACGACCACACCCCAGCACGACCACGCCCCAGCACGACCACGCCCCAGCACGACCACGCCCCAGCACAACCACCCCCCAGCACGACCACCCCCCCAGCACGACCACCCCCCAGCACGACCACCCCCCAGCACGACCACACCCCAGCACGACCACTCCCCAGCACGACCACACCGCCTTGGTTGAGTGGTTGCCTGTCGTCGTGGAATGTTTCGTGGGGTGTCTCGTGGAATGTTTCGCGGGGTGTCTCCTGGAATGTTTCGTGAGGTGTCTCGCGGAATGTTTCGTGAGGTGTCTCGTGGGATGTTTCGTGAGGTGTCTCGTGGGATGTTTCGTGAGGTGTTGCCCCGTTGGGTATCGTGAAAACGTGCCCATGCTCCACATGTCTATATCCCTTTCCGGGTTCGTGGGTCCATCATGTTACCTCGCTGTTGTCTTCAATCCGCCTTTAACGCAAAACGGAATCGAAACGAAAACGGCCAACGAAATCGCCCAAACACCGTTTAGGTCCACTACTGGTATACACATTTTCGGGCGGACTCCGAGGCGCAGAAACGCCCGGGCCGCCTTGCTCCGCCAGGGCCGCGCGCGCCTCGGCGAGGCTGCCCTCACGCGACAGGCGCTCGGCCTCCAGGCCGGGGCTTCGGAGCGCTCCCCCCCCCGGCAAAGCCCGCCCCTGCCGTCCCCCTCCCCGTTCGGACCCTGCCTCCCTCCCTCCCCCTCCCCTTCCCCCCCTCCCCACCCCACTCCACACTCCTCTCCGTCCTCCGGGCCCCTCCTCGGGGGCGCGCAAACATGGATTAGCGATCCATGGATTGGGCGCGCGGTCGCAAAATCCATGGATCGGGGGAGGCGCCCTCCCCAAAATGTGGCCGATGCTGCCCCGTTCGGGAACGGAAATCTGCGATTTCCCATGGAAACGGGACCCCGTCGCTAACCCACGCCTCCCAAATCCATGTTTGCGATCGCCTGACCCTCCCCACCCCCATTCCCCTCACCCCGCCAGTCCCCCTCACATGCCTCGCCATTCCCTTCGCCGACCATCTCTTGTCCATTCCTTTTCCCCTTCTCCTCCTCGGGGCCGTGACCAGGGCAGATAAGACGCACTGCGCGTCTAAGATTCAGCAGGAACAGCGAACCGCCCGAATGAAAGTCCAAATGGAGTCGCTTCTTCTTAGGATGACGGGCAGGGCTGGACGCTTCTACAAACCCACTGTTTGTTCGATTGGTCTCTAGGGGTCAAGGGTTTTTGGGCGCACTATTTTCCCCAAAACCAAAAACATCGGGCCCAAGCGGATACGTGTTCTGAGCAATGGTTTCCTGTGGCGTGTTCTACTTTTGTGTTGGGAACGCGTGGAGCTGCCAAGGATGACTTCAAATCATTTTTCCCGGAAAGGGCTCCGGCCCAGGGTTCTCTTTTAGTTGGTAAACCTAATCCCCCGGTGCCTGCTTGAAGGAGGCCGGCGAATTTTTTCCCTGATAAATAACGAGGTCGAAGGAGGCCGGCGAATTTTTCCCTGATAAATAACGAGCCCGCGAATTAAAATTTGAGGATGTCTCGAGCGAAACGCTTGTTTTTGAGCGCCCGCGAATTAAAATTTGAGGATGTCTCGAGCGAAACGCTTGTTTTTCAGAAAATGGTGAGGATGTCTCGAGCGAAACGCTTGTTTTGTGTTATAGATTGTCCTCTCCTGGGGACCTGAATTCTGAGGACCACCTCCCAGCACGACCACCCCCCCAGCACGACCACCCCCCAGCACGACCACCCCCCAGCACGACCACACCCCAGCACGACCACTCCCCAGCACCCACACCCCAGCACGACCCCACCCCAGCACGACCCCACCCTAGCACGACCACACCCCAGCACGATCACACCCCAGAACGACCACACCCCAGCACGACCCCACCCCAGCACGACCCCACCCCAGCACGACCACACCCCAGCACGACCACACCCCAGCAGGACCCCACCCCAGCACGACCCCACCCCAGCACGGCCCCCACCCCAGCACGACCACACCCCAGCACGACCACACCCCAGCACGACCTCACCACAGCACGACCACACCCCAGCACCACCCCCAGCACGACCCAGCACGACCACACCAGCACGACCACCCTCCCAGCACGAGCACGACCACCCCCAGCACGACCACCCCCCAGCACGACCACACCCCAGCACGACCACACCCCAGCACGACCACACCCCAGCACGAGCACGACCCCACCCAGCACGACCCCACCCTAGCACGACCATACCCCAGAACGACCACACCCCAGCACGACACCCCAGCACGACCCCACCCCAGCACGACCCCACCCCAGCACGACCACACCCCAGCACGACCACACCCCAGCAGGACCCCACCCCAGCACGACCCCACCCCAGCACGCCCCACCCCAGCAAGACCACACCCCAGCACGACCACACTCCAGCACGACCTCACCACAGCACGACCACTCCCCAGCACGACCACGCCCCAGCACGACCACGCCCCAGCACGACCACGCCCCAGCACGACCACCCCCCAGCACGACCACCCCCCCAGCACGACCCCCCCAGCACGACCACCCCCCAGCACGACCACACCCCAGCACGACCACCCCAGCACGACCACACCCAGTCGCACCCCCGTGGAATGTTTCGTGGGGTGTCTCGTGGAATGTTTCGTGGGGTGTCTCGTGGAATGTTTCGCGGGGTGTCTCGTGGAACGTTTCGCGAGGTGTCTCGTGGAATGTTTCGCGAGGTGTCTCGTGGGATGTTTCGCGGGGTGTCTCGTGGGATGTTTTGTGAGATGTCGCCCAGTTGGGTATCGTGAAAACGTGACCATGCTGCGCATGTCTATATCCCTTTCCGGGTTCGTGGGTCCATCATGTTCGCAGTGGGCCACGTATGTATTTTGCGGGGGGCGTGAGATATGAAAGGCCGGAGCAATGCAGAAAGATGGCTCCCGCGGGGCACGCGAGCACGGGTGCGCTAAATTCCTTGTGGGGCACGATCCGCGTGAAGTGCCGCGCGAACACGCCCACTAAGGTCGCAGGTGGACCTTTGGGCACGCCCCGTGCCAGGCATGTTCCGAAATGGGCGCGGGGACGCCATGCAAAGATGCCTATTCTGGGGCATGATTCGCGTGACGGGTGTGCCAACATGGGCGGGGGGGGGGGCGTTGTACGAAACTTAGGTGGTGTTCCTTGTGGGCACGATCAACGTGCTGGGGTGTGCCGCAATGGCTGGAGGGGACGCAGTGCGAACCCTGCCTCTGGGGCCGTGGGTGGAGACCCCTGTGGACAATGATCACGATCCGTGTGCGAGGTGTGCCGAAGTAGGCGGGATGGCGGGATGCGAACCTTTTCCCGGAAAGGGCATGGGCCCAGGGTTCTCTTTTAGTTTGTAAACAAGTCCCCCGGTGCCTGCTTGAAGGAGGCCGGCGAATTTTTTCCCTGATAAATAACGAGCCGGCGAATTGCCGGCGAATTTTTTCCCTGATAAATAACGAGCCGGCGAATTGCCGGCGAATTTTTTCCATGATAAATAACGAGCCGGCGAATTAAAATTTGAGGATGTCTCGAGCGAAACGCTTGTTTTTGAGGCCGGCGAATTAAAATTCCCGGAAAGGGCATGGGCCCAGGGTTCTCTTTTAGTTTGTAAACAAGTCCCCCGGTGCCTGCTTGAAGGAGGCCGGCGAATTTTTTCCCTGATAAATAACGAGCCGGCGAATTGCCGGCGAATTTTTTCCCTGATAAATAACGAGCCGGCGAATTGCCGGCGAATTTTTTCCATGATAAATAACGAGCCGGCGAATTAAAATTTGAGGATGTCTCGAGCGAAACGCTTGTTTTTGAGGCCGGCGAATTAAAATTTGAGGATGTCTCGAGCGAAACGCTTGTTTTTGAAATCCCGACTTCACCACACCCCAGCACGACCACACCCCAGCACGACCTCACCACAGCACGACCACACCCCAGCACGACCACGCCCCACCACGACCACGCCCCAGCACGACCACGCCCCAGCACGACCCTACCCCAGCAAGACCACACCCCAGCACGACCACACCCCAGCACGACCTCACCACAGCACGACCACACCCCAGCACGACCACGCCCCAGCACGACAACGCCCCAGCACGACCACGCCCCAGCACGACCACCCCCCAGCACGACCACGCCCCAGCACGACCACCCCCCAGCACGACCCCCCCAGCACGACCACACCCCAGCACGACCACTCCCCAGCACGACCACTCCCCAGCACGGACCAACCCCAGCACGAACCACACCACAGCACGACCACACAGTCGCACCCCTGCGTGGAATGTTCGTGGCGTGGGGGTGCGAGGGTTGCCGTTCGTGGGGTGTCTCGTGGGAAATGTTTCACGGGTGTCTCGTGGAATGTTTCGTGAGGTGTCTCGTGGAATGTTTCGTGAGGTGTCTCGTGGGATGTTTCGCGGGGTGTCTCGTGGGATGTTTAGTGAGATGTCGCCCAGTTGGGTATCGTGAAAACGTGACCATGCTGCACATGTCTTTATCCCTTTCCGGGTTCGTGGGTCCATCATGTTTGAGGATGTCTCGAGCGAAACGCTTGTTCCCGGAAAGGGCTTAAGCCCAGGGTTCTCTTTTAGTTTGTAAACTTAGTCCCCCGGTGCCTGCTTGAAGGAGGCCGGCGAATTGCCGGCGAATTTTTTCCCTGAAAAATAACGAGGTCGAAGGAGGCCGGCGAATTTTTCCCTGATAAATAACGAGCCCGAGAATTAAAATTTGAGGATGTCTCGAGCGAAACGCTTGTTTTTGAGCGCCGGCGAATTAAAATTTGAGGATGTCTCGAGCGAAACGATTGTTTTTGAGGCCGGCGAATTAAAATTTGAGGATGTCTCGAGCGAAACGCTACGGCCCCACCCCAGCAAGACCACACCCCAGCACGACCACACCCCAGCACGACCTCACCACAGCACGACCACTCCCCAGCACGACCCCACCCCAGCACGACCACGCCCCAGCACGACCACACCCCAGCACGATCACACCCCAGAACGACCACACCCCAGCACGACCCCACCCAAGCACGACCCCACCCAAGCACGCCGGAAAGGGCAAGAGCCCAGGGTTCTCTTTTAGTTTGTAAACTAGTCCCCCGGTGCCTGCTTGAAGGAGGCCGGCGAATTGCCGGCGAATTTTTTCCCTGATAAATAACGAGGTCGAAGGAGGCCGGCGAATTTTTCCCTGATAAATAACGAGCCCGAGAATTAAAATTAGAGGATGTCTCGAGCGAAACGCTTGTTTTGCAGAGCCGACCGCGACGCGGAAAAGCGCCCCGCGCGAAGGAATTTCGATGATGTCTCGACTAATTCGTTTGTTTTTGTACGATTTCCTGGAATTTTGGCAGGATGTCTCGAGCGAAATGCACGACCCCACCCTAGCACGACCATACCCCAGCACGACCACACCCCAGCACGACCCCACCCCAGCACGACCCCACCCCAGCACGACCCCACCCTAGCACGACCATACCCCAGCACGACCACACCCCAGCACGACCAGACCCCAGCACGACCCCACCCCAGCACGACCCCACCCCAGCACGACCATACCCCAGCACGACCACACCCCAGCACGACCCGACCCCAGCA